GTACTGATTTAAACTCTTCCAAAAAACTGGACCAGGTTGTGTTCTGATAATTTCATCAGATTTTACTCTTGCAAAATTGGAGCCTAAACCCAAGTCCAACAAAAGTTTATCCTAGAACTGTGAGATGTATTTCTTTGCCACCCTCACTGCCCCTAAATATATCTGACTATAGACATATTTTGACTGCATCTATTAGAAGTTTTTCTCCAAATGAACTCGGGTCATTTCCTATATTGTTTCATTGCTCTCAGTTACAAGGGATTCCATGGAGCCATATGAGCTCTCCTACAGGGTCAGTACCCAGGAATGATTGTATCAGCTGTCCAAGTCACCTCTGTATTCTAGCAATCAGCAAGGTATTCAACAGAATCACCAGCCTTATTAGCTGGAAAATCCCCAAAGGTGCTCTGGAAAACATCTGCATACACTGGCTTCCAGGGATGGACAATTTTAATAGACCCCTAGCCTTGCAAAGGGAAAAAGACTTGCTCTTAGTCTAAATATTAACAGACAGTGATCTAACCATCATAAAGAGAACAACTCAGAGTTGCTCACCTTCAGATCTCTATCCTCATGCCCAGATGAAAAAATAAACAGAGTGTGCTCTGCTACATGTACTGAGCTGATGACACCGCCCCATGGTTGTCATGTAATCCATGGCATCCTCAGCTGCCCCAGGTAAGGTGTCTTCAGCATGAATGTGAATGTGCTCCAAGACCAACAATCTGGGAGACCTCAGCATCACAACTGAGTCTACCTCTGTCAGCTCAGATGGGAGTCTGTTGAGCAGCAAGTACACCACCAAAAACCTGTAAACTGTCCTGCTGGCCCAAGAGCAGATGCAAACACTCTAGATTGGTAGTGAGACTGAGGGGTGGGGGGAAAGAGTTCCTATAGACCAGGCAATGTCCCTGCACTAGCCTTCAAGTATTCTTGGATGTGGAACCGAGTACCCAAAGGATACTTCCCCATGTTCCCACCCAGACCTTGGTGATGCATGCCAGATCTGCTGCTTCATCCACTATTAAATTGTGGATGAGGAAGGTCTCATTCTGGACTGACCAAGCATTCAACAGCAGCATTCAGAAACCTGAATAGGTTGACTGGGCATCCACCAGACCTGTCAATACAAGAAGGACCAGAATGCAGCACTGCGTTAAGCTTCAGTCCTCTATACACTGGCTTGCAAGGAAGCGCCAATGAGTTCAGTGGGATTTACTTCTGACTAGGATACAAAGTTATTTGAAATGTGGGGAGCATACTTTTGTGGCATATTGATATAATATTCTATTATAAGAATGGAATATAGGAATGTAATATAATAATAATAGAATATTTAATATACAAAATTCTTGAAATTCCACTGAAAGTATGTCTTTGTGATAAATCTGACAACAAGGTCACATCAAACTAGAGACACACTAATCCAGATATAAAGCTATGTAAATTGGTATTCTCCTTCATCAATATAGATTAAGTTCCCTTATTTCCTCACTGATACATTTAAACAGTCACAGATTTACTATTGTTGATTTAGTGTTATTTAAATAATTTCTACTTTCCATTATTTAGTCATGTTAACTCGGAGCAAGTCTGGTAGCAATTTAATAAACTCAATCAATACCATTGGAGCATTTACTGCATACTGCCTGCTTGTCATATACTAAAATTATATTGTTTTTATTTTGTTATCATTTAATTATTGTTGTGAGCCGCCCCGAGGCTTTGGCGAATGGGGCAGCATAGAAGCTTTCTAAATAAATAAATGCCATTGAACACAAAAGAAGTTTAAGATTCAGCCAAGTGTTGAAAGTGTCTACTACAAAAAATCCCAGAAGGACAGTGCTAAAGGCTGGCAAAAAAATGGATCATGAATACACTCTGGCATGAAAATAGTATATTTCTTCCCCCTCCATTTCTGACCCCTAAGTTAAAAAAAAAAAACCCATCTAACTGGATAAACTGACTTAATCAACTTAGCTCTTGAGCTAAAAATAAAGTTACATTTACCTAATGTTTTCTAGCAACAATTATTTCAAACAAGTAAAATTAAAGATGGCTGATATATCTGAAAATAACTTCCACATAATCACGAACATATTTCCAAACATATTCCTCAAATTACTCCATAAAGCACAGTATTTTTGGGCCATCTGTCCATAATTATCATTTCATCGATGTTCATTTTTCTTACCTACCATCACCACCTTTCCAATCTTTAGTGGAATGATGAACTCATAGCAAGAGAAAGGGCATACAGGCCATGAACTCAACACAACTGGCTCTTGTTTGTATGTTATATGTTTTCCTCCATAAGTCATGAAGCACTGGGGCATCCATGACTTAGAAACAAGGTGGTATAAGCATTATCTGGAGGTTGTGCATAAAGTGACAATTCCCTTTGCCAAAGATAGATTGTCAAATCCCATCCTAAGCCACAAACAGTGATGTAGCTTTCTTTTTTTAGTCTAGTTAAGTCCTTCTTACCCTAGAATACTTTTTTATGATTTTGTCTGAACACAGGCAGGAATTTGTAGATTTTACTCTGGTAAAGGATGCATATAAAACACAAGCTAATGCTCATAATTTAAGCATCAGACAATAGTGCCAGAGCTGAAAACAAAACATCCCAGTCTTTCTTCAAGCAAAGGAATCAAGGGTGGTTGCTGCAACTGAGGATGGATGACCAAAGCAAAGCAAACCAAAGAATCCAGCAGAATGTTGTCATTTTATGAGCAAAGGACCACTGGAATGCTCTCCTAGCACTTTATTATCTAATTTTTTTATTCCCTGAGGAAGATAAGTTGAAAAAAATATCCAATCAACCACCTACAAAACAACTGGATTCTCCAAAATCACTAATTTATATCCACTATATCCATACTGCCTTTCTGTAAACTGAAAGACAAAACCAACAGAAAAACTGAACCAACACAGGCTGACTTTTCAACAACAGGCTTTGGTAGTAGTTTCTACCATCCTTTCAAAAGCGCATCACTGATTTTCACAAGCCTTCTCTACCTACCCCAGCTAAGAGACTGGGACTTGGTCAAAGCCTCTCAATGAACTCCAATACTAAGCAGAATCAGAAAGTGGGTTTCCCATTTCTGATCATAATCCTGAGCACTGGGTATCATAGCCATAAAAACATTTCTCCATATAGAGGTATGCAGTTGATATGCAATGCTTATTTTGGAGGCAAGAATTTCAGTGTAATGGCTTTGTTCTTTAAAACAGCTTCTAAACAAAACAACTCTAATATCTTGGCAAAACCCTTTCAAAATCTATGAAGTCATGAACTGTTCCCAAGATTCTTTTTTTATATATAATTCTTCTATCCTAAATACATTTGCTTGGGAAGAAGCCCCAATGAGCCGCCAATAGGGCTTAGTTCCAAGAAATTGTTCTGAGGGGTTGAATAACTTCCTAATCCAGCCCACACATTTCCAAGTCAGAAGTCGAAGCTTACATTATACTAGAATCAACATAGATTCCCCCCCTGCCACCCAATTTCCTCAGTAAAATATTTAGACCAGGGTCAGGCTCTCCAGATTACACTGTTAAGATTATAAAGAACCCTATCAGGACCAGAGCTATTACATGAAGACAGCTGAAGACTGATCAGCAAAACTGTGCCAAGTGAGTGTGCTGGTTGCAACAGAGACTGCAAGATTATACCCAGAATTAGTCCTAGTTCTGGGAGGATGCTATAAATGCTGCATTATGTATCAGTTACCAGCACAGGCACAATGAATGGACAGGACAGGATCTCTGAAAAAGTTGAAAATCCAGAGGTATCAACTCCATAGACTCTGAATTATTTGACTGCTTAGCAAGAGCATATTTCTGCCAATCTTTCAATTGGGAACTGGGACGTGTTCACTGGACCCACACAGAGCAAGAGGAAGCACAGTCCCTTAGCTTCACATATTTCTCCTTTGCCAGGGGAAATCACCTGTGATGTGGGATTACAGATGGAAATTAAAAGTGGATGTCCACAGTCCTTGCAATTGCAAGATTGATGATCTTACTACTTTTGTTATATTTGAACATTTCTCTTGCCACCATTAAAACCAATATTCCATTCTTCCACTTTTTCCCCTCTCTGTCTTGCTTTCCCTCTGCATTCTTTCTTTAAAATAATAGGAGTAGTTTAAGGGTGAAGAGTAGTACAGGTGTCTCTCACAGTAAGCTATCCATATTATTACTATTACTATTGCTATCATTATACTTGTTATAAACTGTTTTGAAGAAAGATGGGGTAAAAATCAAATCCTCTGCTCTATATGTAATGTGAGGAAAATATATGGTATTAAGAGGACTCAAAGGACTACTGAAGGCTAACACTAAAACTAAAGTGGGATTATGGAAAGACTTTACAAAACAAGAAAGTCAAAAAACAATATGTAAAAGAATTTGGAGAAGAACTGGAGCCAATCTTATTTACTATGCTAGGAATAAGAATCAAGAATCCATTTCAGAACCAGCAGTGTATCCACAAAGCATACATGCATGCATATACATGTATATATCACACAAACAGAGCGAGGCTTCAATGTATCCACAGGTGAAACATAAAAGGAAAGCTGAAATCAAGTCAAAAATTCCTCCTTAACTATAACAACCACAAAATGCACATTACAGCTAAATCCTGCAAAAGTTCTAAATAAGCATATGTTGTTCCCCCTAATGCAATCAAATGAAACAAAAAGTATTCAAATCTGTGTGAATCATTTCACCAAACTTTTTGGGAAACAAACATTTTGCTTTATTTAATTTTATACTTTTTAAAAAGCTCTTTGCTGTTGTTGGTTTGTTTCATATAAAAGTAAATTTAATTGTTACTTTTTCCAAAAAATATACTAATGTAACACTGATGATAAAACAAAACAATCTGAGGTTACTGTACAAACACTGCCTTGCACAGTGTCAAATCTCTTTTATGTGGGAGAAAGAAGTAAATGCCTGCGGTTGCTTGTGAAATAGTAGGGGATACTTACCTAAGCACCTGTAGGGAACTACAATGTGAGGGTGACTCCTGCATTGTCTCCATCCCCGTCTGCACCAGTTCTGGATTGTTACGGGTTGGTTGGCTTCAACAACATTGGTAATTTGCAGCTCAGGATAAACCTATTATTCAAGATGCAAAGAACACATTGAAAGTAAGTATTATCATTTAGGTTTGCAACATTCTAACTCACTGTAGCAACACACATCAACACTGTTAATGATAAATATTATCAGCTTAGATTTATTAATTAGATCAATTAAGTAAATTATCAATTAAACAATGTCCCTTTCCTATCAAATTTGTTTCTTTTATATTTGGCATTCCTGATAATATGCATCAAAATTATTAGGAGCCACCTAACCATGTATCCTCCCTTTTCATGTTTATTTTAAGCAGGTCTTGAGTAGGTCTGGCACATAGGAATCAAGAAACACATGGACAGAGTAGAAACTGGAAGAATCTCATAGGCATCAGAAGACAGGATGGAGGAGTAGTGCTAACATGGTGACTTTCTTCTGTGATCCTGCATACCTAGGTTATTGGAACATGGGATGGAGTCATGGATGAGCCATAGAAAGTCTATAAGAATATGACTGGATCACTTGGCTACATGCACATCACAATAAATCACCGTAACAAATTACCATTTATATACCATGTATATACCCAACAATTGGCAGTACCATAGTTAACCTTCCCCAAAGAGCAATAACAAGCAAAACAATAAATACAACAGTGAAAATATCAAAATATTAAGACATTTGAGCTCTACCAGTGCAATTACAGCAATTCATTATAAATATATTAAAATAATGGATTAAAGATTAAACAGCTGATGAAAAAGAACAGTCTTAGGTAGAGGTGCTGCTCAATTCTGTAATTAGACTGCTCAGTGGCCAAACCTCATCCATTCATAAAGCTTATCTTTTAACAAGCCTGGGCTAACAATTCATGAATTTCCTATTAAGTCCAGAATTGATTGTGAGCTTCTGGGCATTGTAGTCTGCATCTAAAACAATACCATGTTTGCACATGCAGCACAGTTCCTAAATTCTCATCCTAAATCCTTGTCCTACCATGCCCTTGGTATCTTCCCTCACCATCACCAATGTTGCTGCAGCTCCAGCTCTGGCTCTGAAGAGGCACTATGCAATTCCACTAAAAGCTTGTTTATTGAATGATAGTTCAATTTTCAAAACTACATGGATGTGCCTGCTATTTTCCAAGAAAACTCGTAACCCTTAACGGCTTGGGACCTGGTTATCTAAAGAAGCGCTTGCGTCCATATATGCCCTCCCACCCCCTGAGATCAGCGGCAGAGGCCCTTCTCCAGGAGCCGTCTGAGAAAGATATTAGGAGGGTGAATACCCGGAGGAGGGCCTTCTCTGTGGTGGTGCCCCACCTATGGAATGAGCTCCCCAAAGAGGTATGCCTGGTGCCGTCGTTATTTGTTTTTTGGTGCCAGGCCAAGACCTTTTTATTTAAACAATATTTTAACTGTTAATTGTTGTTTTTATTTATTTATTTATTACACACCTGCTGAGATGTATCCATATTTTTAAACTGTATTCAGTATTTGTTTGTTTTGTAAGCTGCCCCGAGGCTTGTTGCAAAGGGGGCAGCATAAAAATGCTATAAATAAATACATACATACATACATACATACATACATACATACATACCTTCTTGGGGTAAGTTCACTCCCCACTACTCTTAATTTGGTGTTTAAATATATTCAGTAAAGACCCCAGGTGGGTCTTCCAGGGAAGGGCATTCCATAGATGGGAACCACTACAGAGCTCTGTAACGACCCAGTGCACCACCATGGGTGGTGGCACTCAGAGAAAAGCCTCCAAAGCTTACCTTAGCAATCAGGCAGGAAGATATGGGAGAAGGCACTACTTCACTTGAAAAATAGTCATCTACCCTCACAGATGGTATGTCCACAGGTAGAAAGGTATACTTTAACTATGTAGATGATGTACTGTTTGATCTATTTTGGTGACTGAGGAATAATTTTAAAGGACCAGCAACCTACAGATAACACTTCATTTTAAAATTCTCAGAGTTTGTGCCCATGATCAACAGGTTCTATTATAAAGTAGATTACCAGAAAGTATAAAACCAATGTTCTTATCCTAAGCTCTCAAACTTAATGTGCATGGTACTCGCAGAGTATTTTGTAGATACCGCTGGAGAAGATATACTATCCCTGCTCTTAACAGGAGTGAATTAAGCAAGTGCTCCGGAATCTATGTTTGCTTCTTTGCACTTTTCCAAGCATGATTCAAGGAGCTTGGGTTATCCGCAAAGCTCTAAATTGCTTGAACTCTACGCAGAAGGCAATACCTTCCCCATACATTATTTCCAGAAACAGAGATGCCCAAGGTGAATTCTGAAGCATATATTTAATTGTGCTCCTCGCTGCTATTGCTCATTTTCTGAAGACAGCAATGCCCAATCAATTACACAGGAACAACTTTTAAAGCAAGATACGGGCACTCCACCATTTTTATTGCCAGGGCCTGGAGGATGGGAAAGCCAAGGTCTTGTACAGAACTAATATAGGGGCTTAAATAAATGTCCTGCTCCTTGCACATATGGCTTCTGGTCTGAATAGTTGTTTTTTTGGCTTTTAGAACTGAAAACACATGCACATGCCAATACATCACTTTTTCACTGTTAACTGAAAACAAAAATAAAAAGTTCCCTATTGGAGATAAGACAGCAATCAAATTCAAGACAGTCTAGGTTTCACTCAAAATTATGAAAATCTCTGAGGAGTGATTTTAAAAATCTACATCTAATAAATGTACGAGTATAGATGGAGAGTTGATTCTAATCCATATTAGGACTGCAGCACATGCTACAGATATCAAAATGATCTTACCAAAATGATCTTACCAGGGCAAGCAATTCTTGTCAAAGCCCTAAGATACAGAGCTAGCTATCCATTCAATCTATCAGGACTGGAAATGTAATAAGCAGAGAGTCGCATGGTAGGTAGTTTTATTTTATTTATTTGATTGATTGATGTCCCACCTTTGTTTCTTAAAAGGAACCCAAAGTAGCTTATATCCTTCTCTTCCACCTGCTCTCAATCTTATCTCCACAACCACCACCCTGTTAGGTAGGTTGGGCTGAGAATCTTGGCTGTCCCAAAGTCACCCAGTTGCCTCCATGGCTGAGCCGGGACATGATACTGTCAGGGCCTGGGTGACTACAGCAGGGGCTGTATCTCAGTGGAAAAGCTTTGCAGGCAAAAAGTCCTGGGTTCAGTCCCTAGCGTCTCCTGGTACGGATGCAAAACCTCCTGCCTGAAAGCTGGAGAGCCACTCCCAATCAAGGGACCACCATGCTGGGCTAGTAAGACTAATGGCCTCACCTAGTCTAAAGCAATATCCCAAATCTCCCTAGAAGGAATAGTTTTATTCGGCATCTAACAGCAACTCTGAGATCCCTTCTAAAATCAGGGCTGGGTTATTAACTCAAAGTTGATTCATAGGAATGGCATTATCTTGTACAATACTGCCCATTCAAAATATATGTTGTAAAATTAAATCACTTTCTTAGATATGGAGCAGATTAAGAATAGCAGCATGTTAAAAATTGTATGAAGGCTGCATTTTCTTACAGGAGAAGTAGAAAGTTTACCAGTCAGAAAAGAAATCCCTGGAGACTACTCAGTGTACTATCTGTAGCACACAACCTTTTTTATTGCTGTGAATCAGAAATAGGTGTGATGCAATACTACTGAAACACATGGTCAGATGGCAGCACATTGTTTTTTAAATGCTACTCAATGAAAAGCTAAGTTCACCAATGAGAAGGTTTAGCTGTCAATATTTAAACATTATTTAATAACCCAGGGCATTCTGGAAAAAGAGAGCACTTATTCCACCAAGGTGACTCTCTCACTATAATTCTGCCCCTGGTGTGTAGCAGAGTTCTTTACACCAGGGGTGGCAGCATGTAGATCTATACATGTTTTGGATTTCAGATCCCAGCATTCCTGACTATTGGCTCTGCTGGCAATGTACTTGGGGGTTGAAGTCCAAAACAGCTGAAAAATTGCATTCTGCCCAGTCCTGGTCTACACCATTTGGAAGTTTAAGGTAGACATTTATTATTATTATTATTATTATTATTATATTATTATTAAAACATTTCTATGCCGCCCCTTGCCGAAGCCTCAGGGCGGCTCACAACATACAATAAAATGTATTGTCTTGTTATCATAATGCTTCCAATGTGGATAAGATGCTTCCAATTCTTTTAGTGGTTAAGAAAGAAGGCTCCTGGAGTCAACACTCATTCTCTCTTACGTGCATCTCTTCCCTCCTTTGTCACTACTGTTAGTAACTGATGGACCGCAGGGGAAAATTTACATGCAAGAGGAAAGGAACTAGACCATGACCCTGCAGCTGATTCTCTCAAGCATGAATCAGTTATTACATCAATAAACATAAAATAAGAACTTCAAGGTGAAACTATCTGGCAAGATCAGAGGTCAATTTTCTGAAAGTAATCTTGACCAGTGTCTCCCACAACCATATATTCTTTGTCTTGTGCCGACAAGCTGAACTTACCACACATTGACACTATTTCAGTCACTGGTTATCGCTACAGATTTGATCTATAGAAGGTTCTTTTTATTAAACAACTGGTAAGGCAGGTTTCTTTAAACCAGTTACTTCAGTGGTTTGGTAAACCTCTTTCTCCTAAAGAAACAGTGGCACATTTTAAGACACCATTGGAGTCTGGAGTGGGATTAAATTGTGTATGCATTAAGTTGTTCTAATTAAGTGACCTAAGTGTTTTACTAAAGCTGCATTGAAGACTGTATCTTTACCGAACTTAACATTTTTGGCTCAGTTACCTGATGCAAGATGAGGTCATGCTGTGCTTTCCTGGTAGATGGAATCACCTCATCCACCACCATATTCACTGCATTAAAGCTGATGAATAGTCTATGTTTCCTCATTTCTCATTACAAGTCTTGACTTACACACTAAATTTCAAGTGGCATATATTCCTGATTAAAAGGTGTGTTCCTCATTTAGTTTTAATAGCTGCATGATGTAACTGTATTGTGGGAGTGAGGAATTCTTTCTCCTGC